AATATAGAAGACCCTAACCCTAAATTAATCGAAAAAATTATTAAATATAAGTTGCCTCCGCTTTAGACGTCCCCCATCAATCGATTTGGGCCTCTATATGTAATATTTTTTAAAAATTAGGCCCTTATATGTAATTATTTTTAGGCCCGTATTTGTAATTATTTTCACTTTCCAGGCCCTTATTTGTAAACTCCCCTTTTTTTATCTTATCGGGATTTTATCTTATCTTGTCTTGTCGTGATTTTTATCTTGTCGGGATTATGTACGTCGGGATTAGCACTGTCGGGATTTGTGCTGTCGGGATTTTGGATGTCGGGATTTTGTGGAAGATCCGTTTAACAAATACGGACCTCCGATAGAATTTTCTTTTTTTTATTTACATATTTAGGATACGTATCACTTCACCGACACTCATTTCGTAGACATAAACATTTCACCGACAAAAATTCACCGACATGTTTATTTCACCGACATTTATTTCGTCGACAAGCTTATTTCACCGACAATTTATTTCACCGAAGCTCATTTCATAGACAATTTTTTTTATAAATTCCACTAACCTTAACTCTAATTCTAGCCTGACCCTAACGACAATGACAATTCGGTGAATTACAGCTGATTTGAAAATTAGTGGGACACATGATGAATTTTGTGATGATCATCCAAATTTCGATAATTATTTTTCGGTAATAACAGTATAGTTTTTCGATAATATAATTTTCGGCGATATATTATCGTGGTATGTTTTGTACCGGCCGAAAATTATATTATCGAAAACTATACTTTTATTACCGAAAAACAATTACCGAAATTTGCTGACGATCATCACAAAATTCATCACGTGTCCCACTAATTTTCAAATCAGCTGTAAACTGTCGATGAAATAGGAAATAAATGTCGGTGAATTGTTGTCGGTGAAATGTTATCTACGGAATAAGTGTCGGTGAAGTGAGCTGAACCGCATATTTACTTAGAGGTCAAAAGTAGGTTATCATAGTAAAATTTTGTGTTAACTTATGAAAATGTTTATTTTATTAGTTCCGATTTATATAGAGGGATCCAAACTTTAACGATTAATATACCAAATAAATGCACGTGGTACTAGAAAAAAAAAACAATAGCTAGTTTATCTAAAATAAATTCTACCCTGAAACTATAATCTTAAGAAATTTTAAATTCACTTAAATTTTATTCCTATTTACAACAAATACATTATCGCACATCCATAGAATATTGCTGCATTATTGTAGATCTGAACCCGTGAAACTCACCGTTAAGAATGCCTGGAAACTCAGAAGAAACTGAGACATCATCCAAGAAGATGAAATTCTTCGAGTTTCAAGATAATTCTTGATTCTTTATAACTTGTATACAATACTTTCTTATTTAAACATATCAGAAATGAGAAGCCTAACTGCAAAACTTGAAAAAGCATAATATATACTTACCAATCAATTATGTTTTCCAGCAAAAGGCCTAATTTTTAGTAATATGTTTAATAATTGATAAGTTGATCCCAACAGGTTCGATCAGAGAATGTGAACCAAGCAAATGAAGACGAATTACGTTTTATAATCATTATTTTTATAAAAACGGATTTTGATCCTTGATTATTCATATGTTCGACTTTCGGATCGTATTGATATCATTATATCAATTTCAATAATAAAAATGCTGCTGTAATCCTTCAAGGAAATTAATCATGCATATTTTTTATTAATCATTCTCTCAAAGTGTTATATAAAGTGATGCCAAGGATTCTTTGATATTGCGAAAAATCAGTATTGACTCAAAAAAATAATAAAGTAAAATTTTCCAAGGTTTAGCTATCGAAACTATATCAAAAAATATACAAACCCGAAAAATTATTGAATTACTTTGTGGAAAATCATCGGTGTCTAAGCTACACTACTTATCATTCTTAACACTTCATTAATCATTTTTCTTAAAAGAACATGAATTCCATATTTTAGTGAATTTGTCTAGTCTTTATTATAGTTTAATCGCAAACTTTTCCAATAAACAATGAATGATGAACTAGGTCATAATGATATTTATCAGAGTTTGACACCAATGGAGACACAAGAAACTTCTCTACAAATTGAACCTCAACGAAGCACTCTATTTAATGGTGAATTTTTTGATTCTGGATCCGAAGCTTTCGTTGATATGCCTTCTGTCGAAAATGAAGGAATTAGTCTTACATCTGAAGGTTGTAAATCATATAGAGAAGAAACCGTAATGCGAATTGATCAATTTATTCAACGAGACTGCATCATTCTAATTCGTGCACCACCATTCACCGGAAAAACCTCTTTATGCACATTACTCGAAGAGTACTATCGAAACAAAGATACTCCCGTACTACAAATAAGTTTCTTGGGCGTTGATGATATGAATTTTGAAGAATTTTGGATAACCGAAACGGGGAAAAGTTGGAAATATTGGTTAAATCCTAAAAATGGTGAAAGAGTTATTATCCTCGACGAGACTCATCATATCTTTGATGGATCACGATACGAATCTTTTTGGATAAGAATAAAATCATTATGTCGACAAGTTTCACTTGGACAAGAAACCATTAAGATCATTGCTTTCTCGACAGGTGGTCGACTAGCTACTTCTGCACAAAGTCCTATGGATTTTCGACAAAAATTTGGGTTTGAATTAGTAAAATGCACTCAGACTGAGTTAA